CCTCCACGGCCCCAAAGCACACTCGAGCTCTCAAGGAGGCCACCGTATTTGCGAGGACCGTTTCCCTTTTGAGAAGTCTATCTCTTTCGGCCTCCAGATCTCGTGCCCGATGCATCTGACAAGTCATATTTTCGCTAAACATTTCACCTCGTTCATGAGCAACCTTCAGTTGTGCCTCCATCTCGGAACATTGACGCGACAGCTCTGTGTTTTGTTTTAGAAGGACATCGCATTTCAACTCCTTTTCGCGCAACTGGGACTCTACGCCCTCCAGAGATCTGTAGTACGTGCCCAGGGCTTGTTGAAGCTCCTGAATGAACTTGTTGTAGCCCTCCAGCTTGGTCTCCCAGGCAACACGCAGCGAACGCATCTCGCTCAGGCAACGATGCGAGAGCTCCCCAAGGTGCCTAGAGGCGTCGCCCCTGCGACGCGACAAATCGATGGGTGCTGAAGGGTAAAGACGAAACATAATTTCCGCTATTTCAAAGAGGAGGTCATCCAAATCAAGGGCAACGTCGCGTGAAATATCAAACTCTGTCTGTGTCCCTTGCGAAAACATCTCAGGCTTCTCTGTTACATGTACGGAAGAGCACCCGAGTTCTTCAGTTATTCTCTCAAGTCGTCTAGAGAGATCAGCGTTCCGTGCAGCGGCAGCTTCAACTTCCAGGTTAAGCAGAAGGACGTCTGTCTCTGACATCACCGCTGGACAGCCGCGTCGCTTCCTCCTCAGTTTATTTTTCTTGAAGGTTTCCTGACGGCGCCATGCCAATTGGTGGAATTGGGAGGAAGTGGGGTGAAGAGCATCGAGAGGTTGCGGAGGAGGACGAGAACAGGAAGGGATGCATGCATACACAAAGAGGGTAAGCGAAGTGAAGTGTAACGCGCCGCCCCACAGCTACGCACGGCGCAGCCCAGCCAACTCTCACACATTCCCATGTTTATTGCTTACGACCTCTCACAGGCACAGCCACAAATAAAGGCAAGACAAAAAAATGGGCAATCAATCCCCGCTAAATGGCGCATAGTAATACATCAATGCGTGTGTGCGTGTGTTGTTTTTTTTGTTGTTTTGTTATGTCCTTTGCAGCTGTTGTTGTGTTTAGTTTTCTTCTACCTTCTCCTGGTTTTCTTTTCCTTTTGCCTTGAGCATAGACACAGAGGTACAGATGCAGACGACTACACACACCTGCTGCGGCGAGCAGGAACTGTACGTGAGCCCCTGCGCTGCTAGAGTGTCTGAGAAAACTGACCGTAGACGGCCTTTCGAAGTGCAAAGACAGATGGCGACACCATCGAGGACAATGAAAAATTCCCATTGGCGCTCTTGCGAACACACGTCCCCGCATCAAAGACGAGCATAGGCGCATTTTTATGGAACTCGCCACGAAGGCCCATCTCGCTTCGTGCTACATCACGAAGTCTGTGCAAGTCCACCTCGCCAACGTAAAATAGGCCGCGTTGCATTCCCCGCCGTTCCCGCGCCCGAGCACACTCCTCTGCCTTCTCGCTGGTGAGAGGAGCCAGGGTCAAGACAATGTCTTGCATGTCACCATCGCCTCCCTCGGTTCGCAGTCGCTTTGTCGGCGGCCTCTCGTCGTTCGCCGGAGCCGGGGAGGCAAACGAACTCTCCAGAGCGCCATCCACCCACCCCACATCCCACGAGCCATCTGACCCGGACTCCTTCACGCGCCGTAGAGCAGAGGGAAGTGCGTTAGCTAACGTTGGGTTCAACTGCACATCATACGAGTACACGTGCGTGGCGAGCTCCAAGTGGGCCCCTTGCGTCCTCGGAAGAAACACATTCTCCCCGCACTTCATGACCTTCTCCGAACGACAAAACTGATACAACGCACGATAGTCATCGACAGTCCCACGAATCAGCACAATCTTTTTTGCAAAGCTGAAACGCGACTTTAAGAGACTCCGCATGGTAGCGGTATCTGCAAAACCCGAAAGGTCAGTCATGAACACGCGTGAATTTTTGCGTGCCACAACCGTATTTGCAAACGTCTTTGACGGAATATTCGCCTCAGCCTGGGCATCATTATGCATTTGAATGCCTTCGGGCCCCTCGTCACTGTAAACCCGCGCGGGGGCCTTTCGACGCATAAGCACCTGCAGTTCCTCGCTAATAGGAATACCGTAGGAGTAATCCAGCTTTTTAATCACGGCATTATTTAATGACGCTGCCGTCTCCAGAATAGGAAACTGAAGATGTTTGGAGACAAAACTCATATAAGAGGGAAGAACAAGACCAGGTGTGCACTGTTGTGTCTTCCCCGTTTGTTTTTCCTCCTCGCGACCGGCAACCTCCTCGTCATCGCTAGCATCATCCTCCAGCGAAGCCACCTCATACGCGCCGCCCTCCAGCGTCTTCCGCTGCTCCTCCAACTCCAACTCAAGCTGAAGGTAATACTCCTCCAATTCCTCCTTCCCAAGTGGCGAGCGACTCGTGTAACGCAAATTAATAAGATCCCCTTTATTTGCGGCAGCCACGGTAAAGGCATTTGTATGTGGCTTTGGTGTTCCTGGCAGCACAATCAAGTTCTCTCTCTCGTCGGCGTCCGATTGTAGAAAGTGCTCTAGAAGCTCCGCCGACACCCCGTAATCCAGGGTCTCACCGTCAGCAATGCAGATCTTCGGTCCAGCTACACTCAACGCTTCCTCTGCCGTTTTGCAGGTCACCACATTGGCAAATAATTGCCGCTCACTGAGAATTATCTCGTCAACGAGGGCCTCGGTCATGGTGCTCGCCTTCGCCACTAACTCGGCCGCCTGTACGGAGGCGAAAACAACCGTGTAATTGTCACCCCCCTTCTCTGTAAGCAGGTGCGTAACAATCGTGAGTATCTCCAATCCACGTCCCACAACAGAAACTGGAATCAAGACATCCTTCCCGTTACGAAGTGTGCCTAAAATCTCTCGAATCAAAGTATTCAGCTGCTCCTCGTACTTGCGTCCGGTATTACCGCTTAGATGCAGTGGTGACCCGTCAATAAAAAGAAGAGTTGGCGTGGTCGGTGGCACAAAGCGCTTAAGTGCGTAGGAGGGCTTTAGCGAGAAATCGGGGCAATAAAAAAGCTCGTCAATTTTATATTTAATAAGCCAGCCATGGCCCCCGAGCATGCGGCCAGAAAAAATAGGATAACACTCCACCTCCGCATCGCGATGGCGAATTGTGACTTTGCCCCCATACGGCTCCGTCACGCTTCGAAACGCACTGTACACCTTATCCACTGTGAGCTCAAACTCAGTACCTTTTTCCAACTGCCAGGTGTTGGTGTTGGGGAAGAGGTAGAGGAATGGATGCAGAACACCGTGAAGGCCCATCTTGGCCGTGGAACCTGCAGCCGCCACGCAGGTGCCAGGTGGAATATGCTCCATCACGAAGGGGAGTGCTCCACAAGAGACGAGTTCAGGGGTCGAAAAGAGTACGGCATGTACATCCCCCAAGTACGGCAACAGTGCATCGAGAAAACTGACATCAAACTCATCGTTCCATCCGCAGTCCAGTAGAATACGAACACCATCGACCTCAACTAGGCTGGCGAATGGCGCGCTCGGGTGGTACGTATCCCCTGTCGGTGCCCCATACAGGCTCGTCAGCTTGATTGAGCTTGCCGACGCCCGCAGCATTGCCAATTTGCTTTAAACAACTTTCCCTCAATGCAGAACAGCGAGAGGCAAGGAGAGGGCCAAAACAAAGAATGAAAGATAAATCGCATCAAAATGTAGGGCCCAAAGAAACGGCACCAAAAAAAAAAAACAAGAATCAAAAGCACACCGATCAAGGTGAGCAAACAGCAGCCTTTTTCAGTAAGAAGAACAAAATTTAAGCGCAAAGAAAGAAAATGACAAAAATGGCAAGAAAATGTGATGATGATAGTGCCAGTTTAGGGGCTATCCTCATTAGGACAGTTTATGGAGGTGTCTCGGAGATGATATCTTTTTCACCCGACTTTCTGAAGACAAATCCATAGTCCTCCTCCGCACGGCCCATGGATGCTATTGGTGTTGAAGTTTCCTGCAATCCCGCGTCTAGCGAGGCTGCTCCAAAGTAACGCTCCAATGCCTTCCTCGCCGCATTTTCCACCGCCTCCTTTTTCTTCAAACTGGCAGAGTACGCAATTGCGTAATAAACGTCCTCAAAAACGTGTACGCTTAGGCGGCAATGCCAGCGTTGTCCCTTAAGCGACGTCTCTACAATGAGCGGAAGTCCGTAAAGGACTTGGAATAGTTGCTCCAACGTGTTTCGCCGCGAGGGTCCACTGCACTGTCGCTGCAGCGCGTCAGGATCAAAGGTGGGACCCCGCATCTCCTGCGTGATGCTTTCGATTAATTTTTGTAGCGAGCGCAGGGGATCCACCATCGAAGGTGTTCGCTCCAGCTCAACCACCCGAGATCCATCCACAACGTACAAATGTGCGTCGTACGTCGTTTCCCCAGATACGGAATGAATGCCCACCTTGACGTGAATGGAGGCTGCTGATGAGATCACCTTGTTCTCCAAAAGCTCCTGCATCACATCCTCCACACGTAAAGCGAGAATTGACTTCCCTTGCAGAGGAATCTGCAGCGATCCAGAACGCAGGGGCGTCAAGCTTGTGTTTCGAAGCGCCTCCTCCTTGCAGCAAAAATGGGCCTTAAAAACGTGTCTGCAGCAAGACACAACGGCCTTCAAAACGGAGTTCCCTCGGCCATGGCCCAAGAAAAACTGGGGTGCACTGGCAAAGTGCTCGGAGTCTTGGTAAGCCGGGCTTCGACAAAAGAATTGCACCTGAATCGCCTTGCCTCCACCGGAAATACGCAACTCCGTCGATAGCCCATACTTTAGCATTACACAATGCGCAATCGTCTCCAGCGGATTCGGTGCAGGAAGTTCATACGGCAATGGGGGCAACTCCTCGGCACGTTGGCAAGTATCCTTGTAAATACTCTCCACCTGCGCATCTTCCCTTGCAGCTCTTGCAATAACACCTTCTTCCTCAAACACACCCTTAAACGCGAAAAAGAGTGCCATGATAGCTGAACTCGGATGCGAAGCCTCTCCCAGGGTCCTTTTCGCGCCGTCAACCTCGTCTCCCGGGTACTGAACGAGTAGCTGCGCCCTAAACGAGCCGTCCAGTGGACTTCGCTCTGTACACTCGACCAACTGTCCGGTAGCGGCATCATCCAGTCCACCACCGCCTCCACCTCGCTCATTCAGCAGCTCAACGTAGAGCTGCACCCCGCGACGAAACACACTTAATAGTGATTGCCGATGCACGACAGGAATAACTTGTGCGGGCACGATTTGTAAGTTTTGAATGAAGGGGTCAGACTCTGCGGCAAGTTCATATTCGCTCTTTGGCAACGGCTCAGAGGCGGAAATACCTTCACAGGAGGTGGCATTACCCTCGCTATCAATGAGACCACGGTCTATCGCGTATCTCACACCCTCTTCACATTCCCCTTTGAAACACTTGTATAGTGTGGCGGCAATAGCTTTCTGCTCACTCGCAGATTTCTTTGGATCTAATGCGAGACACACGAAATCTCGTGTGCCTTCTTTATCAACTAGAAAAAGCTGCGTCGCCCAGAGAGGTCGTGTCGTAAGTATCCCCAGCGATTCATTTTCAGAATTTGGCAACAGTTGGACTGCCTCAATAAGAACTTCCTTTTCTTGACATTGAGCAGCCCAGCGTAATTGCGCCACAAGTCCTTTTGAAATGTGCGGGCAAATAGAATCCTTGTCTGTCGCCTTTGTGGAGTTCATAATTTCCCGCACCTCAGCATGGTAGGAAAGCTGGTCTTCAAAGATGCGTGGAAAGCATCGTTGAATGGCCTTGATACAAGCAAGCTCCTCCGCCGCCTTTTTACTCACCCCTGCGGCTCTAGCAACGGTGAAGAGAACGGGGGCCTCAGACCTTTGTCCCTCACCCCAGTCCAGCTCTGCGTCGACAGTGGTGACAAATGTGCCCCCGTCACTCTGTGAAGTCAAGACTCGAATTCGCTCCCTTGTCAGCCCAAAGGTGTGGAGCAGCAAACGGTGCAATATCTCCTTGGGACGCAGGCCCTTTGAAGGAAGCGCCAATACCACCGGATGGTCCGCAATGCGCTTGCGAGCCTCCTCCGTTGCAATGCTGTTTGTACCCTCCGCGGCCTTCTCCACACACGCAAGAGCAATAGACAGAGCATCCTCCCTGCGTCCCAGCAGCACACCAAGTCGGCGTCCGGTGGAAGTCTCTACAACGAACTGTACCTGGCCACCCTCAACGAGTGATGATGTGATGTCAATCGTTTCGTTTGTAGCGTTCTGAATGACATTCAAGTAAATCTCCAACTCACTTGTGCCTCGGTCGCGCTCAAAATGGCGTGGAGGGGTTGGAATACCGGCCGCCTCGAAGGCCTCAAGAAGGGCACGCCGTGCCGTGCAGGCAAAACTCGCTCCAATGGACTCACCAAAAAATTTCTCCTTGGCGAATTGCTCCTCCTTGGAAGAGAGGCCATCAACGGAGCCCTGGCCGCGTAGCGAAACGGAAACCGTGTGCGTCACTGTTCCTTGAAGATCGGTCCCCTTGGAATGGTCAATGTGCAGCCGAAGTCCCGGAAATCGGCTTGTCAAAATCTGTTGGGCCACAGCAAGGTCCTCGGGTCGCTCATGCAGATCCACAAGAGTCATATTGCGCTGGTCTGTCTTAGCCTGAGGGGAAAAAACCTCCTCCACCGCCTTGGCGAGCCCAGAGGGAAGTTCAGCAGTTGTCACGGTCGCCACCTGCGTCCAGGTGTCACTATTTATCGACTTCGCCTCAATGGCCGCCGTTGGTGCGCTTGTGATGCACACGCGGAAACACCGCATCCACCGCCTCTGCAAGGCGTCAAGATCCGACGAGAGTGATGAAAGAAATGGCACCACTCCCGTCTTCTCCACCTCCAGCGGGGCCGTGGAGGCAGAAGCAGAGGAAGGCGTGAAACCCAACGAAGAAGCGGGTGAAGTCTGCTCCGTGAGAGGCGATGACGCGCTAGAAATATTGGGGGCGCCCGATGCGTTCATCAAGATGCGCACAGGTACGCGTCTAAATGGCCGCCCCCAATTTATTCGGCACAGTTGTCTCATGGCACTGAGCAAAAAAAAAAAAGCAAAAAGCTCAAGATGTGAAAAACAAACCAAAAAAAGGAAAAGACAAGACACATTAACAGCAAGAGGATAGTAAAGTAATTTGGCGGCTAGAGAAGCCTGTGAATTCCCACATCTCGACCAAGAGGGACCAAAGGACAATCGCTTATTGTTTCCTATCGGGGGAACCCGCTTTGCCACTAGCCACAACGACGCACAAAAAAGACGGCCTGTTCCTTCCCCAAGTTACTCACTACAGATCGAAGATGTTTTCCAC